TAAGGGTCTGGCATCTTTCTCCTTGAGCAGCTACATGGCATCATCTTTGACTCTGCCTACTTTCTTTATTTCTGTTTGGATTTCCTGACTGGCTTTACTAAACCATTGGCCAAAACAATTTCTTTAATAACCAGTGGTAATAAAAACATATTCATAGCATATAGAGGGGAATCCCAAATTATCTCCCCTTTTATGTCTATAGAAAAAAGAAAGTTTTAACTTTAACATAGTAAAATTAAATATAACAAAACAGAACTAGTTACCTAGGCCAAAGCAGACCTGAGGCAGCAAACTCCACAGGAGCAGGACTGAGCCAGTGAATCATAAACACTTTCAGTAATGTAGCAAAATACAAGATTAACTCAAAAAATCAGTAGCCCTCCTGTACACAGATGATAAATGGGCTGAGAAAGAAATCAGAGAAACATCACCCTTCACAATAGCCACAAATAGAATAAAATATCTCAAAGTAACTCTAACCAAACAAGTGGCAGAATTGTATGACAAGGGGCTGGAGAGATGGCTCAGTGGTTAAGAGCATTGCCTACTCTTCCAAAGGTCCTGAGTTCAATTCCCAGCAACCACATGGTGGCTCACAACCATTTGTAATGAGGTCTGGTGCCCTCTTCTGGCCTGACATACACACAGACAGAATATTGTATATATAACAAATAAATAAATAAATATTTTTAAAAAAAGAATTGTATGACAAGAACTTTAAATCTTTGAAGAAAGAAATTGAAGAAGACACCAGAAAGTAGAAAGATCTCCCATGCTCTTGGGTAGGTAGAATTAACATAGTAAAAATGGCAATCTTAACAAAAGCCATCTATAGATTCAATGCAATGCCCATCAAAATCCCAGCATAATTCTTCACAGACCTCAATAGAATGGTACTCAACTTCATATGGAAAAGCAAAAAACCCAAGATGGCCAAAACAATCCTGAACAATAGAAGAATTTCTGGAGGCATCACAGTCCCTGACTTCAAACACTACGACAGAGCTACAGTACTGAAAACAGTCTGGTATTGACATAAAAACAGACAGGATGACCAATGGAACAGAATTAAAGACCGAGGTATTAATTCACATACTTTCGAACACCTGATTTTGACAAAGAAGAAAAAAAAATATCAAATGGGGCAGGAGAGATGGCTCAGAGGGTAAGACCACTGATTGTTCTTCCAGAGGCCCTGAGTTCAATTCCCAGCAACCACCTGATGGCTCACAACCATCTGTAAAGAAATCTGGTGCCCTCTTCTGTCCTACAGGCACACATGCAGACAGAACACTGTAAACAAAATAAATCTTTTAAAAAAATCAAATGGAAAAAAGAAAGCATATTCAACAAGTGGTGCTGGCATAACTGGATATGAACATGTAGAAGAATGAAAATAGATCCATATTTATCACCTTGCACAAACTCAAGTCCAAATGGATCAAAGACTTAAACATAAAGCTAGTCACATTGATCCTCATAGAAGAAAAATTGGGAAGTACACTTGAATGCATTGGCACAGGAGGCCACTTCCTAAATATAACTCCAGTAGTACAGACACTGAGAGAAACAATTAATAAATGGGACCTTCTGAAACTGAAAAACTTCTGTAAAGCAAAGGACATGGTCAACAAGACAAAATGACAGCCTACAGAATGGGAAAAGATCTTCACTAACCCTACATCAGACAGAGGTCTGAGCTCCAAAATATACAAAGAACTCAAGAAATTGGTCATCAAAAGAACAAATAATCCAATAGAACAATGTACAGACCTATACAGAGAACTCTCAACAGAGGAATCTAAAATGGCTGAAAGACACTTAAGTAAATTCTCAACATCCTTAGTCATCAGAGAAATGCAAATCAAAATAACTCTGAGATTCCTTCTTAGACCGGTAAGAATGGCCAAGAAAGATCAAAAACACTGATGACATCTTATGCTGGAGAGGTTGTAGGGTAGAGGGAACACTTCTGCATTGCTGGTGGGAAAGCAAGCTGGTACGGCCCCTTTGTATCAGTATGGTGATTTCTCAGAAAACTAGGAAACAACCTTCCTCAAGACTCAGCAATACCACTTGGGTATATATCCAAAGGATGGTCAACCATGCCACAAGGCCATGTGCTCAACTATGTTCATAGCAGCATTGTTTGTCATAGCCAGAACATGGAAAAACCTAAGTTCCTCTAAACCAAAGAATGAATAAGAAAAATATGGTACATTTACACAGTGGAATACTACACAGCAGAAAAAATAATGACATTGTAATTTGCAGACAAATGGATGGAGCTAGAAAACATCATTTTGAGTGAGGTAACCCAGACTCAGAAAGACAATTACCATATGTACTCACTCATAAGTGGTTTTTAAATATAAAGCAAAGAAAATCAGCCTACAAATCACAATCCCAGAAAACCTAGACAACAATGAGGACTCTAAGAGAGACATACATGGAGCTAATCTACATAGAAAGTAGAAAAAGACAAGATCTCCTGAGTAAATTGGGAGGATGGGGACCATGGGAGAGGGTTGAAGAGTAGGGGAGAGGAAGGGAGGGGAGCAGAGAAAAATGTAAAGCTCAATAAAAATAAAAAAAAGTTGAGTTCTTCAAGATCTCACATCAACATTTAAAGGAGACCATAAGTATGAAGACACAGGCTTTTGACAACTGTTTTAATAAGGAAATAGATGAATAAAGTATGTTCAAAGTTAATAAATACATATAACAAAACAGGTATCAAGCAAGAATTATAGTTACAATATTTAGTCCATTTACATTTGGAAAATTAAGGAAAATATTTTATCATTTGTCCTATCTTTGTGAGTCTAAAGTTTCATCATATCTAATTTATCTTTTATCATACTAAGGAAACTTATAACTATCTGTCTTCAACTTTTCAAAGACCCCAGAAGGATATAATGTTATCTAAGTAAACAAGAAGTGCATTGTAATCACCTTCCAAAACTCTAGAATTGACAGAGACATCTTGCTACTTGGATAGTCATCCAAAGTTCTTCTGTAACATTTGGGCATCCATCTTCAGCCTACAGGACCATAGTATCTTGCAGACTTTTTCATGAAGCAGGAAATTTCAAAGACTGTTTTTCCTATATTGGCAGTTTGTCAGTCATTTTCTTCTGTGTCCTGAAGAATGTCTGGCAGACTCTTTCATTAGGCAGGAACCTTAAAAGGCTGTCTCACCTTCTTTAGGCAAGTTCAGCAATCACTTTTCTGTGGGTCCTGCAAGTACAGTTTATACAGCAAACCATCAAGCAGTTCAAGCAAGAGCAGTTTCTTGCCCAAATGGCTAACAAACTCCATAAGGAGCCTCTTTGATGCCCATTGTCTCTTGAAGTAGATTGGTACTACCAGGAGATGTGCCTCATTGTCATAAAAAGTCTAAGTTCTTAAAACGTTTTAAATGCCATATTCTGTAGGTCTTTGAAGTGTTGAAGATTATTGGTCTAACTGAAATATATCTCTGTATATCTAGAAAACCTAACTAATATGACTACAAGTTTGACTATTATAAATGACTACCTATTAATCTGCAAATTTTAATTATATATTACATTTTTTAATTTCTATACAAAGAATACCTTAATCAAGGGCAGAAATATACATAAAACAAAATTGACCTTAAATTTGTTTCAATAAACCAAGATCCATACCAATGCAAAGTATTCATCTCTATAACATATCCCCCTTTAAATGTAAACAAACATTTATAAACAATCATTTATGGAATTTGGGAGTTGTTCTTTAGACAACTTCCTGCCGATTGGGGGCACTGTTAATCAGGTCTGTCATGGGATATCCTGTGTGGTAGGTCCATCTCAGCCAGCAGTCCTGAAGCTGTCATGGATTTTGGACCATCTGTGCCATTGCTTCAGGGCGTCTTGTTTGATCAAACCATATTAGCCAGTAAGAAATTCACAGCTTTCTTTCCACTGTGGAAACAAAAGCAGAACCTCTCTTCCAAACAACATATTCTTCTTTTGTTTTATTTTGTTTTGTGTTGTTTTTCGAGACAGTGTTTCTCTGTTGCTTTGGAGCCTGTCCTGGAACTCGCTCTTGTAGAGCAGGCTGGCCTTGAACTCACAAAGATCTGCCTGCCTCTGCCTCCAGAATGCTAGGATTAAAGGTGTGTACCACCACTGCCCAGCCCAAACACCATATTCTTAGACTCAAATTTTGAAGTCAAGATAACTTTAAAATATGTATGTTGGTTAAGCTGAGCAGCCTATACAATGAAATGTCCCTCTATACTTATCTTATTCACAGTAAAACAATTCAAAGAAAACAAAATAATATATATAATCCAGATTCTCTGTATATTTTCCATCTTTACATGGCTTATTTTTCTTTATTCTTTTAATCTATGACTATCTATACTCTCTTTTAAAGACTTTGTTTTATTTTTTTAAAACCTTTTATAACTGTGTATAATCTTTTTCTTCTTTCTCTCAAGCCTATGTATATTTTTTAAACACTATGACTCGTTCAGAGGTTCATTTCTGTCTGAATCTGTCTTTGTTGCTTACCTGTAATCATTTTCTGACTAGGAGCGCTTTCAAAATGGTAAGCAGGTTGTTTGCAGCAGCCCTGGATGCTGGCTTTGTCTCACAGCCTTTCAATATGGCAGAGGTACCTTTACCACCAGCTCTGGGACCCCAGGGTGGGAGCCGTCTTCACCACCTCTACTCTGGGAAGCAGTTGGCTCATGCTGCCACCAAGTAACTTGCAACATGCTGCCCACAAACCCCATTCAATTGTTTGGCCTCCTGAAAGAGCCAGAGCTGTTCCTGCAACAAGCACAAACCAGGAAGCCTTCTTAAAGGAGCCATGCAGTTTTTGTTGCTACCACTGAGTTAGGAAACCTTCTCTTAAAGGAATTGTGCTTCTGCTAGCTTCTAGCAAACAGAGCCTACCTGACAAAATGCTACTACCATAAAGCTGTGCTTAACTCTGTTTTGTTTTGTTTTTGTTTTTGTTTCTAGAATTCCTTTCCAAGCTCTCTCAGGATTTATGTGGATATAGCTGGCCCACACTGATGCACCATTATGTGAGTGGAGACTGATCATTTCTTCCTGGCTGCCCAAGACCCAAATAATCACACAGAAACTGTATTAATTACAACACTGGCCAATGACTCTAGTGTATTCTTCACTAGCTCTTACATCTTAAATTAACCCATTTCTATCAATCTGTTTATTGGCACACAGCCGTGGCTTACTAGTAAGGGTCTGGCAAATTTCTCCATTGGCAGCTTCATGGTATTTCTTTGATTCCACCTTTTCTCTCTATATCTCTGTTCACATTTCCTGCCTGGCTTTACTCTACTAAGCCATTAGCCAAAAGAGCTTCTTTAATAACCAATGGTGATAAAACATATTCATAGCATACAGAGGGGAATCCCACATCATTGTGGTTTTGGAAATGACCAGGTTTGCCCATCTTTCCACATTCCCCTAGTTCATATCTTCAGCTGTCACCTCCAGAAATCCATCAAGTTCCTCATTCTTCCCCAGACGCTTTATCACTGTGTTGTCCGTGGCACTCAAAAATGGTTTGTTCCATTATGGCCCCTACAACCAAGACCAGTACCTCCTGTGAGGCCCTCAGTGCTGTGTGACCACCATCAGATCCCCCAGACCCCAAGGCTATGAAGAAAGCTCTGGGGGTGTTCAGAATGTGTCTGGTCAGCAGTGCCTCTCCATAGCCCAGGGTGCTCAGGGCCTGCCTGCTTTCCTCCCACTGGTGGCTCATGCTGTTCTAGCTTTGAACCCACTGTCCACACTGAGCACTGGCCCTTGTCTCTCCCCTCAGTTGATGCCTGTGTGCCTCTCAGATCATGACTCAAATACCTCTCATGGTAATCTTCTAGAAGCTCTCGTTTCCCACTCAGACAGTTACCTGTCTTTTCATCACAGCACTCAAGACTATATATATAGTCACACCCTGTGTCAGAACACATGACAAAATTTTCCAGGGATAGCCAGCCTGTGAATGTGGCACTAATAATATATACCTGCAAAGAAGAAAGAAAAAAAAACTGCACTCTTTTTAATTTGAGAGATACCAACACAGATTTCAAAGAGGTGTCAGACCAGCAGTCAGCTCAGTCAATAAACAACTTGTCATGCAAGCATAGAGACCCAAGTTTAAGGGCCAGAATCCATGTAAAAAAAGCTGAGCCTGAGAGTGCATGCTTGTAATTCCAGAGTCAGGAAGCCCCTGACTATCCAGGCTAACCAAATCCATGAGCTCCAGGACAGTGTCTTAGCAAATACGATGGAAAACAATTGAGAAAAACACAGTGTCTGTCTCTGGTCTCCAAACAAGATGTATACTTGTGTACACACAAACCCATCCGTCAACACAGACACACACACACACACACATACACAAATAGGAGGACACACGAAAGAAGGAAAAGAAAGAGAGAAAGAAAAACTTCACAGACTCCTATACCTGACTGGTGGTGATGATACCACAACCCAGCATTCCCAGTGAGGTGCAATTCGCTGCCTCTACCACACCTGCCTTCAGATGGAGTCAGAGATCACATGTTTTAACTGATTCATCAGACAAAGTCAGGCTTCTTACTCTGAGGCTTAGCATATTGCTTTGTAATACAGACTGTGTGAGAACGTCTCTCGGGTGGACAGCTCATGCCACCTGCACTGACTTATGGCTGAGCCTACCCTATCATCTTTGCCTTCAGCTAAGAACAAATCACATTTTTTTACAGCCCTCCGCTGTAATTTGAGGGCCATTATTTGAAGCCAAGAACAGAAACATGGCTGAACTACCCCAGACATAATTTATTCTATCATGAAGGGAACAGATAGAATGGATTTCTCAACGTCCAATCCTCCCACGGCATTTCTTCCCCCAAAGCAGCCTGGTGTCGGGTAATTGGCAGTATCCACTCTTGTTCTGTTCTTGGTCATGGTCAAGATCAAGAAGAGCTGATTATAGCCTTCTGCCTAATAGCCTTTCACTTCTTAGACCCCTAGGCTATATCAGCAGCTGCCGATGTTTCTCAGACATTTTCTCCCCTCTGCAATACTGGCAGGAAGGGCGGTAGAGCGAGGGCTCTTCTGCACATGCTCAGTTGTAGTCTCTGGAAGGACTATATGAGATCAGAAGCTATTGACCCTAAGACTCCAGAGCATCATATTTCATTTGCATATGACTCAAGTTTACAGGGATCTTCTAGAATGTATTGTCTTGTCCATTTTTATCAGTAGAATGTACAGAAATTCACTGAGATACTGTTTTTTTTTTAATACAGTCAGGTTTGGGGAAGTTCCAAGTTATGTAAGGAAATGGCACATGTATACACACACACACACACACACACACACACACACACACACACACCCTGTTGGATGACTTGGGTTCAGGTATAACAGCAAGGAAAGAATTCAGGGGCTGGAGAGACAGTTCAGTGTTTACCAGTACATAATCCTCTTGCAGAGGACCCATGCACACATGTCAAGTGGCTTACAACCACCTGTAACTTCAGCTTAATGGGAGCCTCTGGCTTCTGCAGGCACCTACACTCATGTGGACATACCCCAACACAGACATATACATATAATTAAAAATAACAAAAATAAAATCTTATTTATATGAATGGGTGTTTTGCCTACAAGTACATCTGTGTAACACATATGTGACTGTTGCCCCTGGAGATCAAAAGAGGGAACTGGATTTCCTGGAACTAAAGTTACCTGTTGTGAACCATCATGTAGGTGTAGGAACCGAACCCTGGTCCTCTACAAGAGCAGGAAGTGTCATTCACCACTAAGCAATCTCTCCAGCTCCTGAAAATACAATCTTTACAGAAATAAAAATTAAAAAGTCAGCACTGTCTTCAGAAGCATTCAACCCATGCATCATAGAGGGGCCAAACGACAACCTTCAAGGGTTGGTTCTTTTCCATGGTAGATTCCAGGGACTGAATCCTAGGCCTGCTAAACCATCCAATTTGCCCCAGTTCTCAGGAATCTGAGTTTTGCAAGTGTGCGGGGAGTTCAGGACTCTTACACCATAAACTAAGGCCTGGGTTGTCACTGTCTACTTTAAATTAGCACAGGCTGTGTGGCCTTGGGTTCTGTTTCTGCAGAGAAGCAGACATTTGAGAACATCACAAGACTGAGCTGTGTGTGCTGACTCCTAGCCTGTAATGTGTGCTTACAGAAAAACTATCAAGCCCTCATGGGTGGTTGGAGTAAAAATGTTTTATTTTCCCCCTCTCCTTGTTGTGTGTTTGTGTGTGTGTGCGTCCGTCCTTGTACATCTCAAGCTTAAGGGTTCAGAGTAGATTTTATCTTTGATATTGACTTTGCCTTTTCAGGTGAGTACCAGGTGTTGGTAACTAACCCAGGCTGAAGTGTACTGGGTAGTGTTTCTCAGAAGTTTTGTTTGCTGAGTTGTTCTTAGGTTTTAACCAGGTCTTTCTTACATGTTCTGGATCTTCACTGGGTCTGTAGATATCACTCTTATTTTTATCTTACATAGATTATCCAGGGAATGTATACCAGATTTTTTAAAACTATTTTACCCAGCCACAGGGTTGTCCTCAACTCCGAAACAACAAACAAACAAACAAAATTGCTTATGGATAGAAATAAGTGATCAGCATGGGGGAAGTGGTGGGGAATGGGCTTAATTTTAAAGAACTAAGTAACCAGATGTGACACCTTCAACGGACTGAGTTCAATTCCTAGCACCGAGAATTAGGTGGCTCACAACCCTATGTAAGTCCAGCTCCAATGTCTTTGGCCTCCAGAGGCACATGCATTCTCAAGCACACCCACACAAGTATACATAATTATATATATTTAATAAACATTATGTATATATAAAAGCTCAAACAGTGGAGACAGAGAATCTCCCAGAAGCTCAAAGGCCAACTAGCCTGGAGTATATGTGTAGCAGCAGAAAGACTACCTCAAAAACATGGTGGAAGGGAAGAACTGCTTCCCTACAGTTGTTCTCTGACTTCCGCGTGCTGTGTCACAAGAGATACCCTCACTTACGTACACATCAAACACACACACGCTAATAAAAAAATCAACTGGGAAGATCACAAACAGAGACAAAAGCTGTGCCAACAGATGCATAAATTGTATTTTTGAGCCGGGCGATGGTGGCGCACGCCTTTAATCCCAGCACTCGGGAGGCAGAGGCAGGTGGATCTCTGTGAGTTCGAGACCAGCCTGGTCTACAGAGCTAGTTCCAGGACAGGCTCCAAAGCCACAGAGAAACCCTGTCTTGAAAAACCAAAAAAAAAAAAAAATTGTATTTTTGAGGAAAGACACAGGATGAATGAGACATGACTTTTTCAGACGTGAAGCTGTCTTATTTCTTGGGTCTCCACAAAAGGGCAAGCCTATGAGATAAAGTGGGAATTTAGCACCAACGTAGACAGCTGGGCCTTCTAAGCTCCACACTGATGGGAAGCCTAACGAGCTACTAATAAAGTCCTGTGGAGAGAGCGAACTGGGTACTGAAGCTGTGATAGTTTTGTTCCCTAGAGATGTGTCCAACCCAGCCAGCTGTAGTTAGCAAGGATCCTGTTTGGCTTGATCCTCGTCCTGGGGCTGTAACACCATAGACTGAGTGTTTTATAAACAGTAGGAGTTGGTCTGGCAAGATGGCTCAGTGGGTGAAAGCATTTGCATTATAAGTTAGATAACATGAGTTCGAGATTGACTCCTGAAAGATGTCATATAACCTCCACACAGGTGCCATGGTATGTGTGGACCTGCACACACACACACACACACACACACACACTCACATCATAGATCAAAAACAAAAATTAAAAACAACCAAAAGTAACAGGCTATTTGCCTCAGTCCAGAATGGAAGGGTCACATCTGCTGAGGGCCTCTGGCTGCTTCCTAACATAGTAAAAAGCATCACACAATGGGGTGAGACCCTGGTGTAACAAATCCACTGAGCGGGTCTGGAAAGATGGCTCAGTGTTTCCAGAGGACCCCAGTTCTATTCTCGGCACCCACATGGCACCTCACAACTGTCTGTAGCTCCAGTTCCAGGGGATCCAACACTAGACATACATGCAGGT